TAGTTCCACTTTGAGAAGAAGACACTGCTTGAGAACAGTTTACCATGGCACAAATTAAAATCTACTAAACGATTTTTGAGGCTGCAGCAAGACAATAATAAGCATATGTGAAATGCAAGAAGTGATAGGTGGAAATTCGAGCTCAGGTGCCTTGAATACAGCGTGTTTCTCTATATGTCAGCAAGCAAGTAGCATATGGAAATGGGCTTCCTTCCATTTGCTCCATTCAAGGCTTCATTGTACACAAGGGCGTGTTGCAGAGCAGGCATCGCTTAATATCCAAGGTTGCATAGTGAGATTTTCTAATCGGTTTTCCTTATCTGCCTGCAGCTTTTCAGGCAGCTTTTGTGTCATCAGCGTTTAATACTGAGGAATGCCGAGGTGGAAGATAATCATCTTGGCCCAGTAGCTTAAGGAGTAACTGGGTTTCTGCTGATTACAGTTCACATTTGTGCTGTAGCTGTTCACTACCAAAACGTAACTTTCAAGCCTTTTAAAGATGGAAATAATGGGCAGAGATTGGGGACAGATACACAAGAAGGTCATGAAGAGCTCTACGTAAAGAGCGATTACTGGGAAAAAGGGGTCAGTTTTTCTTCACTCTGAAACCAGCTTATACTAACTCTGGAGAGCTTTCTTGAGATTTGGCTTGCAGAAATCAAACTGTGAACAATAAAATAACAAAAAGTCAAATTAATCAGCTGGTAAGCTAAAAAGAAAACTATTTGGGGAGGAATGATGAGCGTTAGTAAAGAGCTGAAACATCTCTGCAGTCTCGGGTGCTCATTGCTCTGCATGATTCGTGGGTAGAAAAGACGGTTAACTGCAGAGACCTGCTGGACACAGATGCTCATGGCTCTTTTTTTTAAAAAATGCTATTGGCTATGATGATAGATAAAAAATCAGAACATAACTGACACAGGCATGTGACTTCCCAGTCCCAAATGCCAGAAGGAGTGATATTTCCCCAGGAAGGATCTTAAATGAAAGCCATTGGCTCTTATTTCAATCTTGGAGATTGGTAGCCCATCTTGACTAGTGCTGGGAACATTTTCAGCTCTTGCCCTGAGGCCCTGGGAGCTATCACGTGGATTTGCTTTCTGCAGTCTCTGAACGTGCCCGTCTCTGGCAGAGACGTGGGGCCAGCAGCCATCATGCCCAAGAAGTGCAGCTGAGGAACCCTGAGGCCATTGGGTACGGGGGGTGGATGTGGATAGAGGCCATGATTACATTTGTAGCATAAAGGTCACAGCAATTTTAGGAAGGGATCAGAACATCCCATCAGTCAAACTCCCACCTCATGGTCACTTTTGGGTCACATCAGAGCTCCACCTGTAGTTGCGTGGGTCAGCAATCTGCTGAGACCCAGATGTTGGTGAATCCAAAGGGATGGTTTCAGGCTGCTCATCCTGACCTTGATCCACGGGACATTGATGGAGCAACAATCTAGGTACATGAAGGACAGGAAGGTGATCAGGAGTGGCCTGATCCTTCTTCTCTCCTCACACTTACTGAGGCTACTCCTCGAGTACTGTGTCCGGTGCGGGGCTCCGCAGAGCACTGGACATACGAAGGTTCTTGAGCAAGTCCAGCAAAGGATCACTAAGATCTTCAGGCAGTGAAGCATCTCTCACTTGAGAGCTGAAACTGTTGATCCTGGAGAAGGCTGCTGAAGCGAATCTTATCATTGCCTATAAATATTTGAGGAAAGGGTATAAAAAGGGGGGGGGAGGGGCAGACTCTTCAGTGGTAGCCAGCAATAAGACAAGAGGCAACACAAGCTGAAACAAAGGAAGGTACTTCTGAATACAAGAACTTTCTTTTACTGTGGTGGTGACTTGGTACTGGAGCAGACTGGAGAGGGGTTATGGAGTCTCCATCCTTGGAGGTATTCAAAAACCAGCTTCATAGGATCTGGGCAATCTGCTCTAGGTGCCTGATAGAACATGGAGTTGGATCAGCTGATCTCCAGAGGTCCCTTCCAACCTCAGTCACTCTGATTCTGTGTTTCAGGGCAACTAGCCCTGGCCAAAGCCAGAAGAAAGTATTGGAATGAGGAGAGCCTGGTGCCCTTGCTGAGCGTGTCAGAGCAGTGTTTGCTCTTTCCTGGGCTGGGAGAAGTTTGATGGTCTATCTACTCTGTCCTCCAAGGGGGATGCTCTCCTTTGGATGCTTTCTGCTCAGTCTATTTGCAGCAGGGCGCTGGTCCCACTGCAGACACTGAATGTGCTGTTCTGACACCCGTGTTGCCCCATTGCTGTGGCTGGTGTGGTCAGGCCCCAGTGCGGAGGCGTGGGTTAGTGGACGGATTGCTGTCTTTTGCTTGTGTTGACACCAAAGGTTTATATGGAAGAAGAGCTAGGGAAGTCCTTATGGTCTAAGGAGACCAGCATTGACTTCTTGTGGAAGCACAGCATTAACCAAGATTTTTCATCCAGCTTGTGAGTCCCTACAACTGAATTCGCAGCAGCTGTCTCAAGCTATGTCATCTCAGAGGTGTCCAAAGCCCTTGTGCAGTCAGCAGTGTTACATTTGTCAGGAGCATTCCTAAAATGCCTGGCAGATGGGTCTGCTTGCACACTAAGGATGTCAAAGAGCAACTTAAGAAAACTATCCACAGTGGTCACCTCATCATGGGAGTTAAGGTTAGATGGAAGAGGTCTCTGGAGTTATGGAGCAAGTTATGGAGCACCACTAACCACACCACCTGCCTTGCTGCAAGGGAAGGACACTTGGCTGGACCCCAAATAAATGAATTTCTCTGTCAAGACCAGAAGTCATTAGGACTGGTGTTCCCCGGGTCCTCTACTTGCTTTCCATGCTTTTAGGAGTTGGACCTTTTTGAATTCGACATTTTGGCCAAATGGGGTTGGAACTGGCTAAGGGATTGTGATATTCCTGAGAAGACTGGTGGTCCAATTGCTAAAGCCTTGCCCACATGCTTTAGTAGATGAAAATATGTCAATAGAGACTCCTCACCCAGCTGGCTTGTGCCACGGTTCTACTGCTCTTACCTGCTCCCAAAGCGGCTCTTGACCTGCAAACTAGAACTACGCTCTTAGCAAGAAGGTCAAAAAGGGCCACTTGATGGCCCTGGTTCCTCAGCAACCTGAGGAAACATGCTCCAGGGGCTCACACGTGCATCACCACCAGCATGTAGACCAGCAGCTGAATATTTTCTCATCAACCCATACAAAAGCTCTTGGCCACCCTCCTACCATCACAAGAGCACAGACCTAGCAGTTGTACATCCTCCAGCTCGGGCTGAATCTATTTCATGACCCGCCTTTCCATGGGCACATGGCAGAACGATTCCCAAAAGAGCCTCCAATTTCTTCAGGCCTCCTTCTTGGCAAAGGCCATCCGATAGCAGCGTTGTCAGGCACCATTTAATAGAATCAAGATGCACGTGACCTCAGAAACCATCAGACTCTGACCTACCTCTGGAGCCTGTTCAGAGCACAAGCAGTTAACCACACTTTGTGTCAATGATTTTAATCAATCTGCCAGTGAAAATTAAAGATTGGGCTGTGCTACTCCTAAGAGAATTCCTCCCAGTGAATTTCTCCTTCAGCTTGCCTCCACTGGTAATCAGGAAGATGTTTAACCTTTCATATGCAGTTTCCTTTAGTTGGGATTGCTTTCACAGCAAAAGCCAGCACCGAATCCCACACATTCGTGATGTGTGTTTGAGTCTGGGGCTTTCAGCATTTGTGAATGAGCTCAGATTGTAAAACACGCGTAGGGAAATTCATACGGTCTCTCCACAAGCTAAGGATCCTCTTCTGCATCTTTGAGTTCCCGGGGCAGACTATGCAGACACCCAGCAGTGATTCAGACATGTTTTGGAAGTGTATCATATACCACAATAATCCATCATTTCTGCTGAACAGGGTAACATTAAACACAGCAGGGGATCACCAGACTAGCGAGCAGTTCTGGACTTCATAAACACATAGAAGGATTCAGCAGTGGGAAAGAAAAGTGGCTACATCTTAGACATACCTGCAAAACACGTTTCATAGGGCCGAGGAGTAACTCCAACACGTTGCTTCTGTTCTTCTGGTAAGAAACCACCTTTAACTGCAAACATTGCAATTCTTAGGAGAAGCTGGGGTCTAGGGCAATGCTCTGCTGTCACCTCTTGCTATCTGGAATAGTTCCCGGGGAAGCAGCATGAGGTTCAACACAGCAAAGAGGCTCTCGGGGTTCTTGGGACATGTGGAGCTGCTGGTTAGGGCAGCAGGTATAAGGGGGTGAGGGGAAAAGCAGGAAAGGATGCAAGTCCTCTCCTTTTGGCAGCAAAAAGCCATTAGATGAACTCAGCTGACAGGAACAGTCCCCACAGATTGCAAAATACTAATTTTACTAAAATAATCTCAAGTTGCTCACCAGAGGACACATGCTCTTGAGTCTGCGTTTGTCAAATCCTCTTTAATGAGTCAAAGGAAGCAGCAGATCATGACTAACCCCTTATGGTACACAAAGGGGGAAAGGTCAGCTCTGCTCCGCGAGTGCAGGCTGCTCACGGAGTTTATTTACACATTAATACAAAACGCAGCAACAAAGCCCTAGAACAGAATCCAGGGAACACAGACAGGGATCAAGGTGTAGCAGATAAATGACTGAACATAGCAAAAGTCCTAAAGGATTTTCAGAAAATTGCTCTGAAAACACTGAAAGTATTTATTGCCTTCAGCCTTTTAATGGCCCTTTTTAAAAAGAATGTTTGAGAGAAGGAAAAAAAAAAGGCAAGTAGCCTAAGAATTATTTTGTTGCCTTCTGCAAGCAGGTGAATATTTAAACAAAGATCCCTCCCGCGTCTAAGCTCTCCCCACCTCAGGTGATATGTGTTGGAGCTCGTAAGTCTCAGCCTCCACAGCATTAAAAGAGCTTAGCATTCCTGAGTGATGGTTCTTACGTGGGGTTACTCTACCTGAAGGCAGTACAGTTGTGAGACAATTGCCAAAATCACAGCAGTACAAAACGAGTTTGCGTGAATTTTATTTCTGGCCTCCGTGCTACGCCTTCGGGAATACCACGTAAGAAGGTAGTGTTGTAGAACGTTTACAACTGACATTTATACTTGGCAAGAGTAAGTAGGAAAAAAACAGTATTTTATTTTTTTTTCAACTTTTTGAAAGTGTTTTACACAGGTTTTGATCTTCAGAATACCTTGGAGTCAGTAGAAAAACTAACTGAACAGTCTGTTTTTACAATAGAAACCTTTCAGGAAGTCAAAATGGAGACTAAAAAAATACATGCAAAACATACTCTTCAAAACACAAACTGAAACAAAGCACCAAACTACACAAATATGCAGAATGAAACAGCATTTAACATCACGGAAAGAGTAGTCTTCATAAAAGGTGTAAAAGTCACCTATTCACTAGGCACTGTTCACTTGTTTTTAAACAGAAGAGACAATAAAAAAATATTGTCCACAAACTTGCAATTTCAACTCAAAGGCTGCAACTAGAAATTCCTCTACATGTCATGCTTTAATAGCGACCTGAAAAGAGAAAATATATACATGTTAGAGTTAAGCAGTGACAGATTTTTAAGTTGTGTATGTGAACTCACTGATATGCCTCAAATCCACAGCAGTAAATAAGAGCCTAATATCTTGTCTATGACAAAAATGCAACAGGACAATCCGACCAGTAAGTTCTTTTGTATAGAAAAGCCCCAAAACGTGCACATATGCACAGAGATGATACGTCAGCATATGAAAGAATCTGAGCGTATGAAGGAATTTATGTTCCAATTTTCTGCCAGTGACAAGGCTGGTTTCTCTTTTTTCCCCCCTATCATTCTGCTGTCAAATACAGCTCTATATTCTATATACAGTGGTACTGTATTGACCTCAGATTAAGTCAGGCTCCTCTTTAGCAAGCTGAAGTCAGGAATTTTGCTTTCAGCACCGGAACACGCAGAGCTTGACAATTTAGTTTTGCTGCTTGTCTCGGACACAAGCAAACTGTTTACACGCTCCAAGGCAGTGCAGTTGTAACTTAATTCCCAGGAGAGATACAGCTTTAAGTTTTTAAGGTGACAGAACTTAGTTTAGTTTATGCAAAACTTCCATTTCTCTGACCAAATAACTACTTTGATTTCTCTGATCAAATACCTCTACAAATAACTACAGAGCGACATTAAAGGAACTGTCCCCCAAAGTCAGAATAATTTTTAAATGCAGACAAAAGCGCAAGGGAGAACTGCGGACAAAAACAGAGTTTGCTTTTGATTTGCTAGCTCCGAGATGAGATTACTTACGAGGTGAATAGGACCGAGATCTGGAGCGAGATCTGTAGCCCCCACGGCTATAGTACGGGGACGGGGACCTTCTCCTGTGGAAGAGGGCAAACGATCGTTTTGTTAATGCCTACAGCAGACACGTAGCAGCAGTTTTACACTGATATCTTTCTCTAGCCCAATCCCGGTATGAGAGTTACTGGGAAAGCCCATGGAGCACATAAAGAGCTCATTAATATTTCTATTTGATAAGAAAATTCAAAAGGTTTGTCTTGTTAATATTCTTTCCAGAGTTACTAGTCACCGTAATATAACTCACAGTAATATGAGTTTGGACTAATAAAAGAAATAAGTTCTCTTGCATTTACAATTTGACTACATGAAAGTCAACAGCATCCCAAACAAGTCAAATAAATGAAGTCTTAACGTAACTTTGTATTTAAATATTTATTCTCAGATACAGCATTATCTGCTACATCCAACTCCATTCCCCAAGGCCTGGGAATCCCTCCCTATCTAGGCACTCCTGTTTTCCTTGACCATTTCCATTAAACCTCCCTTACCAGTAATTCGACCCAAACCCACACATTCAGCTTACCAGCGCCTTGAGGATCCCCCCACCCCTTCTTCTCTTGTGCAAAGCAGCACTGAACTGTCCCTGTACTGACCTCATGCCTTTACCCAGTGATGATGCAGCCCTGCAGGGAATCACACTGCTAAAGAGCAGCACCAATTCAACACTCGCACAATTTCTGCTAACATAGCTGAAGATAATTTAGATCTCTTTCATTAAATGCTCATAATCCCGTTCAGAAACGCTGCTATTCTTGTGTAGATATTGAAACCTTTTTCATACCTGTAAAACTGATCCCTGTCTTGGACTGCTCTCCAACCTCCTCCTCCACCTCCTCCGCCCCCTCTGTGAAGACAAAGTAATTGTGACTGTTAAACATTTTCAAATAACTATATTTCACATTATAGTAACACAAAATAATGAAGCCCTACAAATAAAAGGCATCATCAAGCCTAACTGGTCTAGAAACAAGTAGTCATCTAATTCCTACACGAGGTAGCATTAAGCAACTTTCTCATTGCTGTTAGTTTTACATCTTCTTGGAAGAAGTTGGTCTGAACACAGTGTCAAAGAGCAACTAAAGAGAATTTATACCCTAGCTGACCAGCATCGCGTTTTACAAACTCGTACTCTCCAAAAAGCAGTAATCCAAGACTGGTAAAAGTCTTCACTTCAAACTGTTTCTATTCAGAGGCTTGTCCACTCAAAATTAAAAAAATACATGAAATGCATTAAGTAGCAAGTTAAGCTCCCTGTCCTGAGGAATGTGAGCATGTAGGTTCCGTGGGTAAGACAGGAAAAACACCCTTATGTTTCGGCAGGTAACCATCATTTTTGAACAAGTGCATCTCTTGAACAGGTGTGGTGCAATTTAACCTTACATAAAAGCCTTTCCAAACTGGAACACTTGATTACAGCATTTAGGAGTAGCCAGCAGATAGCGTGGCACCTCCACACACTGAATAGTCAAGATGCAGCTCGCAGGCTTTGCTCCAAGTCTAAAAGAATAAATGGGGACAGCAAGAATCTCCTCCCTAATGCTGCATGCAACACGCCTGCAACAGCAGATGTGCAGATGTTTAAAGAGTGGCTGTAAGCAGACAATATAAAACATGGGTAAATGTTTTGCCATTTCTCATGGCAATAGGAGAAAATAAAGTTTAACCTTACAGTTCCCATCTGAACTTCTATTTCCCTTACGGTATACAAGTACTTGCTACTATTTTCTGGAGTGGAGGACTAGGATGCAGTGTTTAAATGAATTTGAGGATTGTTAATTAATGCATCCTTGAATGCCTTCCTCTTCCTTGAGGAAGTACATGACACCGATATCCCTTTCCTCCAAAGGCCCGGTATCTGTAGAAAGTGCAAGCAGACATCTAAGCACAGTAGCCACATACAGACTGGTGGTGGCTTATTTTTAACCACCAGACATTAAAAATGTGTTACAGAAGCTCTAAAAATGTCCCCCTTCCCGTCCTTTTAAAAGATGGGAAAACACAGCCTTTGCAACTGTTCTCCCTAGTGCAAACAAAGCTGAAATAATTTCCAGCTGCTGACTTTACAAAGACCTGTTACAATTCTCCATCAGAGAGGACAAAAGTAACATTTAAGTGAAAACTTACACTCACATCCTAACTTAACCCCCGTGTATAAGGAATTTCTTTGTTTGTAAAGCACACAACATAAAAGCAACAACAGGAAGGATTCGGGAAGGACAGCAGGTACAGTCTGGCCTAACCAATGAGAAAGAAGGGAAAATTCTGTAAAGTAATAACAAAAAAACAAATATATAACCAATAAACTCGCCAGTTCTGACCAGTTTACATTAGAACCACAAGCCAAACAAGATGGAAGATGGGACAACAAAGCAAAGCACAAGCTACTAGCACAGCTTCACACACTGAAACATCTTGTAGCATCATCTGTTGGGAAGCTTCCAAAGCTTTAACACTTTCAGTCCATTTCCTTACTAGAAGAGAGCCTTTACAACATGAGGTGAGAAGAAGCTTATGGCAACTCTCCTGGAAACACTGTTGTATGCTCCGAAATTAACTGGAAATTTAGTCAGGGAGCTCTTTTGGGATCCCATCTCTCTCCTCCTGTCACTATAAAAGCCAACACATATCTTGGCTCTTGCCTATCCAGCATCAACTTCAGATTTTAGCTCTTTTTAACTCTCCAAAATGTTCAAACTCATTGATGCAGCAAGGGGAGGTAAAACACATTCTCTAAAGACTGTATCCCAGAAACTAAGAGAACATTTTTGCCTATTCTCTGGAATGCATCCGAAGCACCTTCACTCCCGTCTTGCAGCAGCGGGAGCTTTACAGAAGCAAAGCACTTAGTTTACAGACATAGATAAGGTGGGAAAAGCAGATGGGAAGGGAGCAATAGTACTAGAAAACTACTGTGATAGTAGTCAGCTTTCATGTATGTAGCATTTATATCATCACGGAGCTACAAGGTGATAATGCAGCTTCCCCTATCCCAGGCAACAAGATACCCGCCCAGCGCAGCTGCACTAAAGCCAGGCAAACAGCTCAGGAAATAGAAATTCAGCAAACATACACACATTTACCAATTACAGATAGGAAAGATGAACTCCATTACGCTTACACCTGTATGAATAGCATCCCAGACAAATGCTGAAGGTTTTACAAGGGGCCCAAACTGCTGACAGGCTTAACATGGAACATATACAGCTCATTTCTTAAAGTTACTGTGCAGTTGAACATAAAAAGTACAGATTGAGGACAGACAGGAATAGGAGGGGTGAGCTTCCAAGAACAGGTCAAACGTGACAGAGAATCAAACGTTTAAGTTTATAAAACACTAGATACAAACTAATCTAGTTTCATTTTCCAAGTAAAAGATGAGTATCTCTATGCATGAAAAGAGAAATTCAAACCACTAGATTTTGACTGCTTGTAAACACACAAATCCCTTCAGGGAACAGCAATTCCTTGATAACAAGGGCTTCCTCATCATTCTAGCTAAGCAGAAACTTGGATTTTGTGGTAAAAATTCAATCACCCTTTACTGAGTTGATACACGAGCCAAACTAGATTAACACTGTAAACCCTCCCTGGAAAAATGCCCGTTCCCAATATTTTATCAGTCATACTAGCCTAGTATCAAGGCAGATGATGTCCAGGGACAATTAGTAATGACCTTCTAGAATGCAAAATACCACCACGCTCTCCACTCCGCCTGGAAATGGGGCGGCAGTCTGGCAAGGTGGTTCAGGTCTACTGAACACTGCTGCTTTGTCCTTGCGTAGCGAAGAGACCCAGACTTCACGAGCTTAAAGGTCCACAGCTAGGACCTCAGCTTAAAGCTAAACTCTGCACATAGCTTGAATCTGTTCAATCTGCTAAGCAGCATGGGTTCAGCTTTTTTTCCTCCTTCTTCTTCTCAAGTCTAATTTGTTGTTTCCTCCTACTAGCACGTGCCATTTGTCTGGCTTCCGTAACGAGGAAATCCCAGCTGTGGGTGCCAAGGAGTTAACTGACACACTGCCCAGGGGAAGGTAATCCCCTTTCCAAGCTCCACACAACAATCTAGCTACTTTTGTTACAGGACAATTAAGCTTTGTGTGGGGTTTCATAACACTGTTTACTTTATACGCAATTAAGTTTCCAGTATGTTAAAGGCTTTTCACGCAAGTGCCCAGTACAGACCAGTTTAGCCTTTCAAATTCTCATTCCTCATTTCTGGCAATAGCTGAAACACCGGGATTTTAATAAGGGATACTGGCAAGCCCTGGTATCTTCTGCTGCCTGCCATTTGACTCCACTCCAAATACAATTTGGCATTACAACACAAATTCAAGCATTAGGTCTGCACATCTGCCCCCACCGCTTCAGCGCTAGCAGAGACAGACTAATGAAAATTTGGCCTGACAGCATAAAGAACATACTTCCTCTTCCAACATTCAATAGAGACAAAAAAAAAGAAGTCATCTCGGGCCAAAACTAGATATCCCATTCAGAATATTTCTCAATCTCACCAGCGTGTGGATTTATTTTGGGCAGTCCTTTTGATAAAGACTTTGTAGTAAGATTCTAGAACAAAAGTGAAAGAATATTCTACTTCTTTTAAAATACTGTTAACACAAACTGATGACAGATAGGTAGGAGGGGAGGTGAAAAACACACAGTTTAAAAAGCTGTGCAGTATTAATAATGTTGGCTCACCTATATGATCTGCTGTAATAGTCACGATCATCATATCCTCTATCGTACCCTCTGTCGTAGTAATCTCGTCGTCGTGAGCTGCCACTACAAGCAATGAATGAAACAGACTTAGAATCAATAAAATGTAAAGCTCTACCTATGGCTCATAGTGATTCACAGGAGGCATAAAGTTGGAAGTGATGTTATAGCAAACTGTATAATCAGGTAAGGGGGAGTGTTGTGGTTAACTTGCTTGGCATTACTACCTCTCATCCTCACAGCGGAGGTGACTGAGTGAGCACTTGATTTACCCATCAATGCTTAAACCGCTGCCTTTTCAAGGGCTTGAAGTTTAAAATAACTATCTGCTTTCCTCCTCAGTCTGAAAGCTCTTAAGCTTTAATACTGCAGACGCAGGAACAACACACACTTCTCATCCTTGGTAACTTTAAACGTAGACTTTTTGGAAAACAGACAAAGCTGCACGACTGGTGCTCATTATTGGACTCCATTCTTCTTGAAATTTACAGCTTACAAAGCCATTAAAGCTTGAGGCCATAGAGGAGACCATCCACTAATCATAAGCAACTTACTATCATCTGTAAAACATCAGAAATGCCACCATATTTAAATGTTTAGAAAAAACTCGTTTAAAACGTTTAGAAAATGCATTTCCAGGTAACCTAAGTAGCAGACATGGATTTCTGTTTGCTGACCCTGTATCAGTCACAGATAAATACTATATAATAACCAGGTGTTAGCACATCTGTGCACATGCACCTAAGTGCTTACAAGTGACCTGAGGATTTCTGCATTCCGTAATCAGGCATCCACAGTGATTTTTCCATTTTAGTTCCCCATACAGAAGTGTCCACATTGGTGCATACAATTCAGAAGCAAGGAAATACAGTAACTTACTAAGTTGGTCTTCCCATGTAGATACCAGGGGTTGGTGTGTGAGGTCTTTTTGTTATGGAGAAGTCTACCCGGATCCTCCTTCCATCCAGCTCCATTCCATTGGCACGTTCTTTAGCCTGCACCAAGTGAAATACACTTAGCTGTAGGTTTATACTTTAATACAAAGTTTCTAGGCACTGTCTCTGACACTAAGAGAAATCTCAAAATGGTTCAAATAAGATTCAAGTCTAAATTTCACTTAAGCTTGGTACATAAGCTCTTGAAGTGCACCTTCAGGGCTAAGGAGGACAACTGGAAATAAGCTGTGTTTAAAAATAAAACAGGAAATAAGCACTGCTTGAGCATTAAAATATGACTTGCACAGCATGAAATTCCTAAAAAGAATATAATTTAACAGTGATTTTATCTTACATGATTAAGGGACACCTCTGTCTACAGCCCTGCGTGGGGTTGCAACTACTCTACCATGGAATATGAAGCACATTTAAGCTAACAACAGATCAATGCTTTATCAAATACATTTTTCCCCCTCAAATACATTGTCAAATTCTACTCTGACTTCACCTGTAACTGTATCTGAATCCTGGGGAGGAGAAAAAAAAAAAAAGAAAAGAGAAAAAAAAGAGCCTACATTAAGAAAAATGCCATTGCTTTTTCTGCTAGCTAACAGAACTTAAATGCAAAGCTTTGCGAAGTAGCTCAGCACAAGGTCTTTCATAGGCTTGAGTGTAGAACTCAAGTTGGTGAGTCCCCTTCCTTATCATTTTGTATTATTTGTAAACATCAAATCCCAAAATTTCTTAGGTACTATTAATACTATTCAAATTTAATCAGATGTTTTAGTGTTTCCAAATATTACTTAAAGGCTGAGGTGTTGGCCAGACTTTTCTGAAAAGATTCCTCCTTTCCCGCACTAATACTTCATTTAAGCACCAGAAGTCACCAGAATGCAGGTTAATGCTCCACTCGAGCATCTGAGAAGCTTTGAGCACTCTGAACATGCTCAGCGTCAAAAAGACTTCCAAAAATGCGGTTAGGAAGGAACTTTCATCTCAACAGTTAAACTGGAGAGGACTTTGTCTCTATTTTCTTCTTCTGTTGACACAGTTTGCACTATGGCTAGGTTGCAGTTTGCTTTGGCCAATTAAACAACAACTCAGCCTGCACAGGGAGCAGTGTCCTTGCCCTCACAACATTTCCTCCAGTAAACTGGAGGTTTTGGTCACCTGAATTAAGATTCTTAAAACTAAGAAAAGGTGCTGAGGATATTTTAGGTGCTGAGGATATTTTAGGCTCCGAGAGGGCAGAGAAAATACTGGCCTGAAACATGTCATCTCGAACACAGTTTTCCAGACAGCCTCCAGCACACACTGTATTTACTCTCCATCCAGATTCAGGATCTGGAGAAGTGCTGACAAAGTGCATTTCTCCTCTCCCAGAAACTCAATTCACAAATTATCCATTTGCACTACAACCCCTCTGAAAATTATCAGTGAAGAGTCGAGTTTTACTTAATAGCAAGCACGAAAATAACAGTTTTTGCAACTTGCCCTTTGCATTCAAGACAGATTGTCTCTATTATCAACTCACTACTTAAACACAGCAGATGTGCCATTTTTTCTCTACTCCAACCTACTTCCTTAGCATCCTCGACGTTTTCAAAGTACACAAATGCAAATCCTCTTGAACGCCGTGACTGTTGGTCGTACACAATGGAAACGTCAGCAATTGGACCATACTTGGAGAAAACTTCTCTCAGATCCCTTTCTGTGGTGTACAGACTCAATCCAAACACGCCAAGACAACAATTTGGGTCAGGATTTGCCTAAAGGAAGAGAAATCTATTAGCATAAAATTGCTTCATTTGCAACAGAAAGTATTCCATTAATTTGAATCCAATCCCAAATAAAAACAAACAAAAAACCCCCCAACATCCTGCTGCAATTTGTTGGCTTAACTTGCTAATAGACACTTTTATCACTCTCCCCTCCCCAGAGGATTGCAAACAGCTAAGAGTTAGCTAGCCTGCACGCCTCATTTAGTTAAAATCTGTCTTGGTGGCATCTTTAATAAATGTTCTAGTTTTACAAATAATTCTAATCAAGAGGCAACATTCCTCCCTCTTTTAAAGGCATCTGAAAAGAAGCACACTCTCTCCCTGCAATAAACATATAAACCATCCAAACGAAAACCTGAAGTATGTTCCCCCACCACCCTGACAATGCCCAAATCTTAAGCTCTACATACACTGCCAATTTATGGACATCCAACGTCCATGTGTTTTTCTGGAAGATTTTGATGTCCGAATCGAGCAATTTTCAAATGCAGTCAAGACTAGGGACAAGTCACCTACTTCTGTAACAGACCTACCCTGTTTCCAATATGACGTCTGCGAGTAGACATGGGGGAATGGCTGTGACTGTGTCGCCGCCGATAGTCCCGACTGTAAGACCTACTTCTGGATCTCCTGTGAGAGCGGGAACGAGAGCGGGATCTTGTGTAGTGTCTACGAGAACTCCTCCTCGATCTAGATCTGCAAGAAGGATGCACAATAAATAAAGCTACAAGTTTTATTTGGACCTTTCGCATAGAAAAAGCGAATCAAAACCAAAAAAGGGTCAGTAATTCAAAATCAAAAAACCCCATCGCTTTCTAAGAACTTGCAGTGCCACATAATTGTTTTCCAGAAGACAAATGTAACCAGTTTTGATATCAATTGTCTTTATAGCTACATTACTGCAAATACTCTCAGAGTATTTCCATTAGGGGGGAGAGGGAGAACTAGAAGAGAGGGAACTTCAATTTTCCCTATAATTAGCATTTAGCTCCCTGATCATTTCTAGTTTTCTCTAATATGGCTATCTTGCCTTGAAACACTATGTGCTTAGAATAATCACAGCATTTACAACAGCATTTAGGTAAAAATAAAATAGCTGCTGTAGCTGTTGCAAAGTCCTAGCGGAGACAGGTAAAAGGAATAAATTGTGTCTTGATACAAAAAAATCCAGGATTGCAGAAATGCCTATTCTAGCACTCACAATAAGACAGCTCTTAATGGAAAATATTAAGTAAATATACTTTTTACACAGTACATAATTAAAAGCATAGAAGCATGCAAAAAATACCTCTGAAACAGTGCAACAAGACTGAAGAGACTAAGCTTTTCTAACAAAGCGATAGTAGGTTTATCCACCTTTTGGTATTTTAACTGTTACATCAGCTGCACGTGTAAGCACGTTGTACACGTTCAGACACGTAGCGTATTTAGGCAAAGAAGTAACAACCCACTAATTTCAACCCTCTTCACAGGGATTCCAGAAATTACTTCCGACAGCACTAGGTCTGCAGAGACAAGCTCACAAGACACTTCAATTACTTCCACCAAGCCCTCAGCCCTTCAAAATACAGCTGTTCCACAGTTGAGCAGGTAGAAAACTTATAATGTAGTACCATTCCTGAGCTTGGCCTGCTGCTTGCACTCACTGAACAACATGCACGCCACACACATATTTACAAAGGAAATTACTGCATGGATAAAAAGAGTAAGTGTAGTATTTGGGGAAGTTGAGGGGGGGGGGTGCTCTCAGGCATCAGAGTCTGAAAGCTGACTATTTGTGACCAAATCACCTCCCCAAAATACACGGAAACAAACATCACCAAGATTAAGAGCAACCATCAACGCAGAATAGTGTTTCTGAGTAACCATGTGGCATGATGGAAGTTCTTAACCTGGACCAGTTCTTACTCTCCTGAGCATTTAACAGCTCCCATCATCAGGATTTCTCACTAGGTTTCCCAGACAGCCATCCTGTGTGACATGTTCTTCAAGTAACAAGCATCCTCAAACAAAAACACACCTCCACCTCTTTCAACTAGTCCCACCCTCCTCTACTTGAAACTCAAACATGTTTTAGGGAAACAGACTGACTCTTGTTCAACTATTCTCATTACAACACGTAACCAAAGCACTGTATTTAGAAAGAACAAACCTTATGTTTTTGGGCAACATGAAGAAAGTAACTAAACTCCCAAGTGAGGCAGGAAAGGCAGGACAGAAAGACAGCGAAATGCCAGACAAATACGAAGCTCAGCACCTGCATAAGCCACGTTTTAGTCTTTGACACTGAAAAAGCTCATCTGAGGACAAGATACAGAACTGACAGTCCAGGTTTTAAAATGCATCCATTATGAAGCAGAGTCAAACCCTTCCAAACCAGACAAGCTGCTACCTGAAAGAATATTTAAGTAGGCATTGCATATAAGTAATACATTAAATTCTAAGTGCTACTCCTTTGCCACAAAGCCACCACCAGTTAAAAACCCCATTCCTCTGCTGAGAGGCATTTAGACCTTAAGAACACATAGAACCAGCTAAAAGTATACATATTAATAAGAATTAAAAAAAAAAAACAAATACTTGCAGAGGTTCTTCACTACACTAGTGAGGAAGCTTTAATAAAAAAAGCTTTGAATTTCTTAATCAAATATTCCCGAGCTCTAACTGATGATTAAACTAAAAGAAAAAAAATTTGCAAAAAAAGCCATTGAAAAATATGAAAGTTGTCACAATGTGATTTCTCCAGCCACAACCAAAGTTTACATGACATGCTCAAAATCAGCTCTGTGACGGCAGTGAAGAGAGACCCAAGTATGTTGATTCTATCCGTGTCTCTTGACACAAGGCTATAAAACTCTACTCAAAATCTTTAACAGACTCATTCTAGCTCTGCAATAAAATTCCAGAATTTTCAGTCAGAGGCACTTTCAGGACAGCTGTTAGATGCTCAGGAAACCATAGCAGTTTGAAGCTTTTCATCATGCTCATCAAGAAAACCATTGAATCTGCAAGGATATGATTTAAAGGGTGATTTCTCATACGAGCTAACAGTTTGCCCAGTTTGTTTTTAAAAATGTATCACTGTGCCAGGACTTCAGATTTCAAGATATTGTGTTTGTTTTTTTTCAGCATTATATGCTACCTGCATCCGCATTCTTACATAACATCCTGGGTATTTTGCAAGTGAAATACAAGGCTTTAAAAGAAGAGCATTAAAACCCTCAGGATTATGGATTAAGGTGCCTAGAACATGCTGGGCTAGGCCCTGACATGCTTGTGGTTTTAGAAGGTTAAAGGCTACCCGAAGAGGTCGTGTAGTCTCCATCCATGGAGGTTTTCAAGAGTCAGCTGCCTAAAGTAATAGAGTCTGAGCCTGTAGGTGTCTGTTTCACAGAGATTTTGGTTCTCTTGAACTATCCTGCGATTCTCTGCGATTTAGTTTAATACTTTCACTCTTCTGCTTTGGGAATCAAGTGCCTAATTTGACAGTTACAACTAGGCCTGAACTAGAGAGGAAAAAAATAAAAATCATACCCAATCGTGTCAAAATTCCCGCTATTTACATTCTCACAGGGAGCTCTTCATGCTGTATACAGTTATGTTTAGCTTCACTAGCTCCCTAAACCGCAGCACTGCTGTGCTCCCAGTCTGCAACACTGACTGCAAGAGCAACTGAAATACCTGGGCTACACGGGGAGACACTCCCTGGCTACCACCGGATTAAGTGCAGTGTTGCAAGCAGACCTAAGAGTGCTTGATAGCATTTCCTATCACGGCTTATTTACTCACGGAATGACATCTTTCCAAATAGTCATCTGTCCCCTGCCCTATCCCTAGCCTTGTTATTTTGGCAAGCCTAAATCAGTATTTATACACAAAAACATGATGTGAACAGCTCAACAGGAAAACCTTGAAATACTATTTTTCTCCTCTGAATGCTCACAAATGAGCAAAGAACACTCATTTCCTTCTTTAGTCAGCACCGAATCATCCTGTTTTTTAATACAGTGACATTCACTCATTTACAGGTTTGTTGACTTCCCATCTGGTCTTCTTAAATGCACTGCTTAGAAGACATACCTAGAAAATTTAACAGTAAGTGGCTAGCACAGTGATGCTGGTTGATTATCTTCAGATTGTGAGCAGAGGTTATTTGCTCAGTGAGAAGATCCTTAAGGGTTTCATGAGCAATTCTGAAGGTACAGTTTGTGGCAGGCAAATAAGAGGATAAGCACAGTCAAAAATACATTTGCATAGCAGCCAACTGTGTTGCTACGTGACAAATGCCAAAAGCTACCTTCTCCATAATTTTAAGAGATAGGAAAGTCTTCAAATTTTACAGTTTTTCTGCCTGTTAATTTTCAGGCGAGCATATATTTTAAAAGAAAAGGATCTGTTGCAGTTCACGTTTACCTCCACTCCATTTTTTTTAGTGCAAAAAAGCTATAGCAAAAAAAAACCTGTAACATTATTGTGGCACGTAAAGGAAAATATCTGGGGATGCCCTTACTTAAGGCACAGAAAGATGCAGAGCACCTCACACTTCATGTACAAGAAACCAGCCATAATTTTAAGGTTTAAACTTAAAGGTGGGCCTCTCCAACTGTACCAGCAAAAATGCAGCACAATCTCTCAAAAAAGAGAAAGAAAATCCTTAAAAAGAAATTCAGCTATTTAGTAGAGAAAATAGTGTTCAATGTTCTCAGATCATCAGTTACCTTTGGCACCAGACTGGGCTAAATTAGACTTCAGTTCAGCTCTGCCATAATAATCCAAAGACTTGCCAAGAGGAGGAAGAGGTAAAAGAGGTAAAAACTCACCTGGATTCAGACCTGGATCTAGATTTTGACCTGGAACGCCTCGAGTCCTCCTTAGAGCGTGATCTTGCCGGCGTGTGCCTGCCCGACTTGCCAGACCCATGAGCACTTCCGCTTCTGGAAGCAGAACGGGATTCCTGCACGCAGATATTGAAAGCCTAATTTGTACACAATTTCTGCTTTACCTCAAGTCTGTAAACAAGCTCCAGTGAAATAAATGGTAAAAAAAAAAATCATATCTATGTGTCCGGGCAGTTGGAATTAGAACTGCCTAGATTTTTTAAGTGTTTTTTTTTTTTTCTTCTTCTTCCCTGGTAGACACTTCTTTACCCTGCATATAGTTTTGCTATTAAACAGATAATGCATGCATGTTTAGCAAAATATACAGGGACACATAAACAGACTAGTAATTACTTAGCGTAGTGCTTTCAGATTCCAGATTACTTCTTATCTTAACTTCATTTTTATTCCTTTTCTTCATTCTTCCGTTTCAAATTCTGACTTCTTTCATCTTCCCCACTTCACACAAATTGCTCAATATTCTATAAGTGGGACTTCTGGTCTGATAATTAGCATGCATTCACTTTCTTTTTTTTCAAATTTCAGCTTCACTTATTCCTGAGCTTCAAATAATTCTCATTTACAAAACTTGTCAAATGGCGACTTCCGCATTTTCCTTCTTCAACATTAACCTTAATAGAAAAAGAACAGGATGAAGAATATTTAAAAACTCCAGGATAAAAATCTAGTGCCAAAACTGAAACTAGAAAAAAAAAAGTTTTGCGGACTTTGACTATATATGCAGTTCAAGAATTGAATCTACCAACTTTCCTACTATTTTATAAACAGACTCAATCATTTCAATTTAACTTAGTACTAGAGTGAACTCACTATTTATGCCTACATTTAACATCAAGCATACAACGGCCCAATTAAAGACTTACTCATCGATCTTGGCATTAAGAAATTCAAGAGTGTTTTCTAAATTCATCAGCCACATACTCGAGACAAAACCAGCAACAAATGACTCAAGTAAAATACCTCCCTGCTATGGGGAGGCTAAGGAGGTGCTTTTTGAATGCAGAAAGCTCAGACTTTCATTCATTGACTTTCTCTCACAGTTTAGGAGAGCTAGTTTAAAAACCCCTGCCTATTTTGCCCTCATGAGTGTGATTACATCTGCAGGGGCCACACTTTGTATTTTTAGTCAATACAATGGTAAATTTAGTCACGTGGCTTCAACATTTAGTTTGAACACTCCCGAAGGTATTATTTACTTCAAGATATTAGAGAAAATTTAAAATTCAATAGAAAACTCATCTATTGGACCATGTCTTTTTAGAAAGAGATTAAATTTCACACTGTGGGTCAACTCTTGACCAGGCACACTACACGCACTACAAAAGCGGCAGAGTTTGTTCAAAACTGTTTTACCTAAGTAATGTTTTTAAAATTTCAACCCAAATCCTGCTGAAATTCTAATAGTAAAAGGTACCAAACATTTAAAAACCCATTTGCTAAATTCTTTTCTAGTTTTGCTTACACCACTTCTATATCACTCAGAATCAGGTCTGGCTGTTTACAATTGCCCACCCTAGACACTCAGAGGGGGAGGCGGCGCTTGTAGGATGAAGCAGATTTCTAATTAACTCTGAGAGCCACGTAAATAAAACAGAAGTTGATCACATCTTCTTCTTCTTTGTCAAAATGTGTCATGAGCTCCATTAAACTCTAAACACCTCACTTAGGTTAGTGCAAGTACTGAGAGCTTATTTGTGACAAATACCAAATTTACCCTAAGCTCATTAGTGCATTAAGAAAATCCCACAATGAGTTCTGAAATCTCACATATTAATTTCACCAAGGACAGTGTTCAAACTACTTTTACACTTTAAAAATAAGATTCAGAGGAGTGATAAAACCCAAACTACGACTGTTCTATATTGGAGAAAATACACTTAATTCACAAAGAATTACACTTTTGAAAAATTCAGTCTAAACAGAAGGAGCATGGCAGAATATCTAAGAGCAAAGAAAACAGAAGCGTATGATGCTTTGGGAGAGTGAAGGAAAGAGCAGGAAAGAAGACTTTGCCCAGAAACATACCAAGGCTATTTCCCCACCACCACGACCACCACCACCTTAGCTTTTAGGGATACTAGGCTTTGAAGAAATCATTCTAGAAAAGCAGCACTAGAACACACAGATAATCTAAGTATTCATCTAATTGGCACTTTCCTCTTCTATATTGAGGGAAACCTATTAAGAAAACAAAAAGCCTGGAGATAAGTAACTGCACCTGAAAATAGGCAGTTGGTTTATTTTCATCTTGCTTCTTTGGATTGCACAACATTTTGTCATTTTAAAACCTACATTTCCCCTTCTTTCTCCTCTCCCTATCCTTGAATCATCCTTATCCAAACCTTACACCTAACTCCACCATATTTTACAGCATTGTATCACTTCTTTCTTCTAAGCCTCAGTGGAATTAATTGCACCTCATCTGCTCAAGGTATTACCAAGACTAGCAATAATAATCTCTAGAATTAAAAATGTATTACTCCTTCCCCCAACAAAGGGAACCCTCCCTACCTAAATTAGTGCTTTTCAAACACCCCTACCCAGGCAAACTCTGTTTTTACTCTATTATCTGGCCTCCTACTGATGGTTTACAGAAGCTCCTATCTCCCCCTATGGTTCACTTGAACCTTGACTGTTTCTGCAATCTGCTTTTGTTCTTAATACAATGTTCTTCCTTTTGCGTAAGGAGTTTTAACCTTTTTAAAGAAGGTGAAGTAAGCTCCTTGCTCCTGACATACGGAAGAAAACAGCTAGGGGAAAAGGTAACTTGTTCTTCCTACCTATTTTAAAGCATTCCAGGTAAGCAGATCAAGGCCATGTTCACTGCTAGATCTTGAACACTTCTAGATTCCCTAATAACCACTCCAAACAGTCATTCCAAAACAATCGTTTTCCTAAGCTTGAATTTCTGAACTGCAGAGTTTAAAAGCCACCAGGTCACTTATCTGTAGTTACAAATCCCACCTACTTCCACCTGAATTCCAGTAAGCCATGACAGAGGGCAAGGCCTTAAGTTGTGGCTTCTGAATTATCCCTCAAACATACTTAAGCATAATCAAACAACATGTTAATTCTGTTGAGATCTTTTTTATCATTTTATTTTTACACCTCTAAGCACATTCATAAAGCTTGCTATCTTCACCCACACAGTATCACAAGGGCAAAAAGGAATTAATTATAAAGAGTAATACATTTCAATTATTTAACACCTGTAATATAGTCAAGCAAAACTTTAGTTTTAAAATAAATCCCTACAAACTGCAGTAGCTTGCTGAACACACTCCTAGCATTTTCCTTCCAAGATCTTGTCAAAGCAAATTTGTAAAAATATCTGAATTTTCTTCGTATCAGGATATGTGACTCCCCAATGCCCCAAACCTTCAAAACCTAAGAAGTTAAAAAAAAAAAAAAAAAAGACAACTTGAGATTTGAAAAGCTGAACTCCTAACAACTCAACAGCACCAAATCCTTCCTCCACTACGTCCATCGTGCTTTGACCTGTTAGATGACCTCAGTGTGCTAAGCTAGGGGGAAACTAATCCAACAACAAAAAGCAAATGACTTTCTGACAGCTTAGGGTATTGAATCAGCTCACCAAGGGGGTCAGATCAAGTGCCAGATGGCAGAGAATGGAGAACAACCCAAACTTGTTTCTGACCACCTCAGAGTTTCTTCTCCAACTCATTTCTAATAATAGTATTCTCAAGAATATTGACTTTACCTTTTAAGTGACCTATCATCATTCAAGGTGTTTTAACAGGAAAAAAAAAAAAAAAAAAAAAAAGAGAGAGAAAACTGGTCATCAGATTACATCTTTTCTTGGATCAAACATGTATCAAGTCACCACTGCCATTATTAGCTAACTTCCAGAAATCTCACTACTCTCTTAAAGGAATAATAAAAAAAAATCACTACAATGTTTAAACTGCACAAAATAGTTTGCTGAGGAATTAGCACTAACATTGCAAGTCATGACATAAGACATTTACGTTTGAGATGCCACTGAGACAGCAAGCCCCACTCACGTGGCTACTGCAGTCAAACCTGTGAACCAACACAAGTGGAAATTGAATCAAAAAATAAATCTCAGCTGATCCAGTTCCCAGATCTGACTTCCCTACAGCCATTAGCACTGGCAGAAGACGAGCAGGAATGGAGTTTCAGGAACATAATTCTTGCTGGCAGCACAAGCTTGGAACTGTTTAACAGTGGGCTGTAAAGCCATATCCTAGAGTGTCCAAACAATGTTTCTACTGGCGAAACGGAGACTTCAGAGCCCAGCTTGAAGAAGAAAGCCGCTGATTCGCTAAAACACAAGCTTTAAGCAAGCAAAGGATAATCTGTAAGTAACACTGGGATAGCACTAGAAAAGCCACTGCCTGCTTTAGCCTACAATAGCAGCTTCTTAGCTACAGGGTGCTACTTTTTAAACTTTTATAAATGCATATTGCATAGGACTTACCTATAAATGAGTCACCAAAGTTCAGTTAATAGAAATGATGTTATTCTGAACAGGCTCTAATGGCACATAACTGCTCTTAAGTCTCATTCACTTGGCAGTTAGTAGAGATTGCCTGAGCACAATTTGGTTTTATTTTTATAGGTCCAGAAGAGAGAATAGAAAAAGGGGCATAGGGAAAGAGCACAACACCCTATCACACCCTGCATCAATGGCTTCAAGAAGACTTTACAGCACTAGTTTTAACATTTTTATTCACACTAATTGAAGTTAGAAAGTAGGTTACCCTGACAAACTGTACTAAAATTAGGTTATTATCTTAAATTCATTTTCAATCTGGCTTGCAGTGTAGTAGTTAAGATCACATTCAATTAACATGCAGTAATCCATCTCAGGCAAGAAGCAATATTCCATCAAAGAAAATCTACTGGCTGTAAAAATATGAAAACATTAGTGAAAAATAAAGCTGCAGGGAAGGGGTGTAGCCTATTCTTTGATCCCCATCTTTCAGTATTCCGCATAATCCATTTTTAGCTCAGATTTTTCTAACATAACCTGCCTTGAAGTAACATTCACAAACTAATAATGTTTACTGGAGTGAATCTGAGGAAGAAAATCCCATATTGACCAAGAAGAGGCACTGCGAAAAATGCAATTTCCTGCCTAACATTAGTGAATTCTAAAACAAACATTAAAAAAACCACCCTTTCTCTAGAGGTTTACAAGTCAAAGCTACCAACATCTGAGCAAATACTTTTGGTGCTGCAATAATCTAATTTACTTACGTTGAAAATGGAACAAAAGACAATATTAGTTCCTGCGTTGCACTCAACCACGGCAGCAAGACCTCAAAGGGTAACAATGCTCTTCCCCAATCCCACCCGGAAAACAACCCCGCAACCAACTCTGTGTATTGGTTTTTTAGGACAAATTAACCGCCGCCACCACAAGCGAGCCGCAGCTTCAGTGAAATCCACCCAGCCAGAGCTGTTCTGCAACAGCCTGAGCTACGCTCAGCCCCCGGGCAGGCGCCGTGGTGGGACACGGAGCACGCTGCGAGGAAGCCTCGCTGCCCACGTTTAGGCTAGGCCTGAGGGCAAGCCCAGCGGGTGCGGAGCTGCAGCTCCAAATAAGCGGAATTGGCGTTTCGCGGGCAAGCACGGAGCGCAGCGAGGCCGAGCTCGGCCGGCGAGGCCATGGGCCGAGGGAGAGCCGCAGGGCAGCGAGGAGGAGGAGGAGGAGGAGGAGGAGGAGGGGGACACACAACCGCAGGGAGGAGGAGGAGGAGGGGGGGACACAACCGCGGCCCTGGCGCCTCGCCCCTCTCCATCCGCCCTCAGGAGGCTGCAGGAGGGGCGGCAGGACACACAGGCAGCAGGAAGGCGGGCGCCGCTGCTCGCCCCCCACGGCGGGCTCGGGGGCCCCACGGCGGGGAGGCGGCTGGCGGCTCTGCGGCGCCCCGGGGCCCGCGGCGGCGCCGCCGCCCTCGGCCATTTTGTCCCTCTCTCGGAGCGCCCGGTCATGAGCCCAAGATGGCGCCGGCAAGACTCGCCCCGGGGCGCGCGGGCAGCGAGCGCCTCCTCGCCCCGCGCCCCCACGGCCGCTCGCGGGCCCTGCCGCCATCCTCCCGCGCCAGGCCCCGCCGGGCCTCCCCGCACGCTCCGCCGCGGCCCCTTCCTCCTCCGCCGCGGCGGCGGCCCCTCCCATGGCGGCTCAGCCGCCCGCTCTGCCCAGCGCCGCGCAGCGGGCCCGCGGGGCGCCCGGCGCCGAGCAGCGCGCCCGGGCCCCGTGCTATTTACCCGCTCGCCGTAGTTCTGCTCGCCGCTGTCGCTCATGGTCCCGCCGCGCGCGCTCCCGCCGACCGCCGCCGCCACCCGAGCGTCCCCGGCGCCAGCGCTGCTCCCGCACCGGAAGTGACGCGGGCCGCTCGAGCGCGCGCGCGCCGCGCCTCCTCCCCCCTCCGCCCGCCCGCCACGGCAGCGCGCATGCGCCGTGGCCCCGGGGGGGAGGGGGAGCGCGGGGACCTTCCCGGGCTAATGTGGAGAGATGGCGGAATAGGAAACACGGGGATTAATGAGATCTTTTCTCGCCTAATTAAGTTTTAAATTCTTTATTTTCTCCCTCCCCCGACCTATGCTATTGGCACCATACAGAAAAGAGGTTCTTGTGGGTTAATAAAGTTTGCAGAGGGCAGAATGTTTTTGGAGTCAGTTGAGGCTGAAACCAAGAACAGCAACGAAGCCCTGAGGGACCGTGTGAAATAGGGTTGGTCACGGGCACGCCACGCACGTGGGATCCGTCTTTCCAGTTTCACTTGTGCGACTGTCGGGCTCTTCACTGGCCCTTTCCATTCAGTGGTAACGTCTTGGAGTTACCAGAGCCTTGAGGATGTCTCGAGATTGTCAGAAAGGCACAAAGACCCATAGGAATTGCGGGAAGGGAACGGGACGTGACGTGGAAAGCGTCATATCGCCACAGCATGAAGCATCAGCTGCACTTGTGGGCGCCTTGTTGCAAGCAGGAGCAGCAAGGCTGGCAGAGGTGGGGGAAAATGCACAAAAATGACGCAGGGATGCAGTCTGGGAGGAAAAGAGGTCTGCAGAGAGAGGAGATCATAGAATCATTATGGTTGGAAAAGACCTTCAAGATCATCGAGTCCAGCCGTAAAGCCTTCAACGCCATAACCTGCTGAACCATGTCCCTAAGTGCCGCATCTACATGTTTCTTGAGCACTGCCAGCGACGGTGACCCCTCCACTTGCCTGGGCAGCCTGCTCCAATGCTTTGCCACTCTTCCCATGGAGAAATTCTTCCTAGTGTCTAACCTGACCCTCCTCTGTGGTGCTACTTGAGGCCTTTTCCTCTTGTCCTATCCGTAGTTGTTCTGGGAAGAGATCAATCTCCAGCCTCACTACGTCCTCCTTTCAGGTAGCTGTAGAAGGCAAGGTCTCCCCGGAGCCTCCTCTTCTCCAGACTAAATGACCCAGCTCCCTCACCGCTCATCATCAGGTCTGCGCTCCAGCCGCTCCACCAGCTTCTTTGCCCTCCTCTGGACACACTCCAGCTCCTTTCTAACGGAGAACGATGGTGGAAGGTGGTGGAAGCGCAGACGTGCATCGTACGGCAATGTGAACGCGATGGCGGCCGTGCACAGGCGAGGAGCTGCTCTCGCCTCTCCTTCGCAAGGCGACACATTTTGCCGTGGAGCACGGATGGCATTCCGCTCACTGCCATCGCAAGGCTCTGTCTTGGAGCAAACGCCCCAGAATGGGAAAGAATTAACTTTGTACACGCTGGCGTTGGGAGTGGGGACATCTCTAAGGAGTCCACGTGAGGGCAGCGTAGCACCACTGTTACAGTCATCGTCCATCATGTAGTGGAATGGCTTTTTCAGGAAACAGGAACCCATGATGAATTTCGTAAATGCACCTCTGTGCAGTAACACATACATCTTTATTTTCTCCATCAAAAGCACACAGATTGTCACGGTCATCATGAACTGAACAACACATGCTCATTTTAAAAGACCATCACGCACGGAGAGGAAACCTGGCTCCACATCTGTTCTTCAGAATTGCATGGATTCAAGGATAAAACTCAAAGTACATCCGCACAAAACTTGCCGAGTTTTGCAAGACTCGCATTTACTTAAGTTGTTTTAGTTTTCCCCTTCTCTCCACCAATGAGATAAATGGGTCTGAATTTGCAAGTCTATGTAATATATTAAAAAAAAGAATTAAATTGATCTGTAAATTTCATGAGCAAGTTAGTGTTAATATAGGCAAGAGCACAGAATTATGCATTTCTCTTTTTTTTCTTTTTTTTTTTTTCTCCTCTAAAGCAACTTCTTTACACTGCTGATAAACATACGTATTTTGTGTGGCATCACTTAACACTTTTCTCAGCTCCGATTCCTGTGGCAAATTAAGTGAATGAAAATGACTTTAAAAAAAGTGCATCCCTCCCACATAAGCAAAGCATTGATGGGTTCAGAATTCCTGAAGAACCAGAGGAACTTTTTTTTAACTTAATTTATTTTTTAAATTTAATTAAGTTTTAATACAAAAGGGAGGCAAACAGAGAGTGGGGGGGACGGTGGCTCGGCAGGGCCAAAGCCGCCGCGAGGCACGCCGGGAGTTGTAGTCCGCGCGGGCCGCCATGTCGTGCGCCCGCGGGGGCCGCCGGCGGGGACGACCGTTGGGGCCGCCATGTCACGCGTCGAGGCGCCCGCAGGGGACGGTTCGGCCGCAGCAGGGACCGCTGGGGACGCTTGGCGAGTTGAGGTTTCACAGGGTACTGCAGCACATCCCTGAAAGCTCAGATATACTATTCTGTGGAAAAAGAAATAAAATAAAATAAAATAAAATAAAATAAAATAAAATAAAATAAAATAAAATAAAATAAAATAAAATAAAATACATGCAGCAGAAAAGGTAACAACAATAAACAAATAAGTAAACAATAACAAAAAAATAAAATTATTTTAAACAACATAATGCCCTGCAAAGCAGAGAGGAAAAGCTAGAGGAATCATCTATGTTACGAGGAAAAACTGAGCAAGCTGCACTTGTTCGGTATAGCTGAAAGGGGAAAGATTGAGAAGGGATCTTATCAACATGTAGAAATACCTGAGGGGAGAATGTAAAGGGCATGGAGCTAAACACTCCTGGGTGGTGGTCAGTGACAAACTGAAGCACAGGAAGTTTCATCTCCCTGTGGGATATATCCAGGCTGTCCGTCCGGGCCAGGAGAGCCCTGTTGGGGGGGCTGTGTCCCGTGCTGGGCTCCCCAGGCCACACAGACCCGCTGAGAGTGGAGCGAGTGGACCTGCTGCAGGGCACACTGTGCTCGCTGGGCCTGCTTGGAGCAGGCTGCGTTACACGAGGACCTCTCCAGACGTCCCTGGGTCATAGTCACGGGTGTGAGGGGCTGCCCAGAACGGAGCTTCATTGTGGCCACCATGTCCCCCCACCATCAGTGCAGGGAGAAGACACGGGTGTGTGGTCAAGTGCACAGCAGTTCTGGAATGTATGCAGAGGAAGCCCTCTGAGGACCAGGAATAATCCCAAGGACATGCAGGGGGCTGTGAAACTTTGGACCCRAAAACTGTGGACAAAGCATTTCTGAGGGGATCTTTAGAAAGAGACCCGACCCTTCAGGACAAGCCCCAGGTCAGAGAGGCTGAATCTTTTTGACAACAGGAGAAGAGAGATTCTCCTGGCCTGCGGCCTCTTTCTTTCCTCGCTCAAGACAA